GCTTGTGCCGGGGTGGGTGAGCTCAGTGCGGCCGGGGGCTGCTTATTTGGTAATCCAGAGGTGGGGAGGCCGGGCGAAGGGACGCTTGTGCTGGGTAGGCCCATCAGGTTGGGTTTGGGAGAAGTTAAAGCTGCAAGAGGGAAGAAAGAGAGGTGAGGAGTCACTGGGCAGGCCCAGGCGGGCGAGGCCGGGCCGCCCGGCACCACCAGCTCCGCACCAGGGCAGGGACAGCTCCAGCCCCCGCCAGGAATGAGACATCCATGGCTCTCCCTGCGCCCCAAGTGCCTCCTCAGCCCCGTCACTGCAGCCAGCTCGGCCACGCTGCCCAGCAGCACTGGACGTGGTGCCTCTGCCTGGGGACACCTCCAGCCCCCTAGGATACTCAGCACTGCTGTGGCTTTACTGAACCCTCTGAAATTGCCCAGTGAGGAACAGCTGATGTCAGGGCACACACTGTCCCTACATCTGCAGCAACCCATCCTTTGGCCAAAGTACTCCAGCAGAAGGAAAGTGCTGTGCCAAATGGCCTAACACTAGATACCATCCATCTTGTTAAAATCCCCCCAGGTTAAAAAGCCCTGACACGGCAACTGGAAAGGACTGAACTGGCTAATTCTAAGTTATTTTGTCCTGCTATTCATGAAATCACAAAGCCTTTCCTTCCTTCCAATGTAAGAGGCTTTGGGTGCATAGCTTCGGAGTAATTTCAGAGTTTATGCAATATTCAGACAGAATCACACACAGTCACAGAACTGGCCTAGTTGGAAATGATCTTTAAGATCATCAAGTCCAACCATTAACCTAGATCTACCGAGTCCAGCCTGGAAGTCCCACCCAGGGCATGAACATCATGGTTTGGGTGGAATTAAAAGTGTCATGAGGCTTCCTCACAAGGGGGATCAACTACTGGTGAAACGTGAGGTCTGCCCATCTTCCCAAAGGCAGGAACAGCCAGTATCAACAGAGCTCCTGGTGCCAATCTCTGCTCTCAGAGCTGATAGCAGCTGGGAGAGGAGGAACGGGGCTCCCAGAGTCACATCCATTAATCATGTCCATTGCAGTTGGCAAATGTGCTCCCAAAAAGGGAAATTTTGTTTGGGAAGTCCCTCAATGTCATTTTGGGAAAATCAAAATGAAGCAAAGCTCTAACATTCTGCTGGCACAGCCCTGTACACTCCAAGGCTCTGGGGCCAGGAACCTGCTGCTGGATCCACCCCTGCTGCAAAACCATGCCACAACATCTAACCTTTCAATAACAAAGCCCAAGTCCTTCGAGCTGTGATGGTAAATGTGGTCTGAGTACCAACAGTCAGAACTAGGAATCATGGAGGCACAGTTTTATGTTAGATTGTACCTTTTCTGTGGTGCTTCTGTGCACCAGGCCCCAGACTGATGACTGCAGAGCTGCATCGACAGCCCCTCACTGACCCTGTACCGCTGGGGTAGCCCAGAAGGAATCCAAACATCTCACCACGCAGCACAGGAATTGCTTTCTTGCAGCACCGTGCCCTGAGCAGCAGCGAGAGGGGGCAAAGCACCCTCCTGAACCCAGCTGTGCTGTGCCCTAGTGTGAACAGCCCATTGTCTGCAGCACTCCATCCACCCAGCGAGGCTGGAATCCTGTGCCCAGCACTGGCCTCCTGAGCTAGGGCAGGAGACAAAGCCGTGCGTCTCCACAGCGCCTGGCCAAGGAGTCGTGGGATTCAGGAAGGGCTGATCAAACCCTGTGAAACCTGCATCTGCTCTTGATGCGGTACCGAGACAATAGTGACTCGTGAGGGTATGAAGTGTACAGAGCGAGCCTCCACGCAGCAGCTTCATACATTTCAGATAAGGGCACATTATGGATAGATGCCATTGAAACTGGTGTTCCCTCGCTCAGCAGCCCCTGAGAGGTTCAAGAGCAGGAGCAGCAGCTAATTCATGCCATTCCTGGATGCACAGCCTTATCTGCTGCGACAGGCTTTGAGCTGAGATGGCTTGACCTTTGGAGCTTTATCTAAAGGCCACAAATAGTCTGTTTGACTTTCTAAATAGCTTAGTCCTGTCTAGGCCATCACTGATTGCTTTTAACATTCATAGGACATAGCCCCATCTCCCCAGGACACATACTGGATTGAAGTGCAAAAAAGGAATTTTAGATTTTGTTACAAATTTGGGGCACCAAGTGACCAGCACAGAGCTATCTGTGACAGGCTGGCAATGTAATGTGCCAAAGAGATCCACTTTGCCTAGTTCTGGCCCAAAAGGAGGACAGAAGTATTGCAGGAAAAGGTCCTGGCATGCAAACATGCCCTTCAGACATGTAGCCCTTAGGACTAGATTCAAGAAGTAGGAATGGGCAGTAGCCCCAAACAGAAGAACCTCTAACATGAATAGTTTTAAAAAATAGCTTAATTACAATGGCCTATGCTACAACTAGTCAGGAACGATTTTACTTGAGCTTTGGGGGTTGTGGGAAGAGCTCTGTAACTATGCAAAAAAGCCTTGAAGTCACTAGGAGGATGTTACATAAAGATGCTCCAGGTTTCTGTCACCAGTGCTACCAGGCACATCACACTTCTCCCTAGCAACAGTTCAGAATTACTGAAAGCTTGGGATGGCATTACATAAACTGAATTTAATAGCAAAAGGAAAGGCATAATGAACAATGTATTCAGCACAAGTCGTTTTCATGTTTCCTTTGATAAATTCTCTGTTTTCCACTTCCTTGAAGGTACTTGAGAATTTTCAGTCTGTGCTAACAGAACGGAGATACTCAGCGTGTCTAGATCTTGCTCTATTTCAGACTTTGCTAGAAAACCCAGGTTCTGGAATTAAAGACAAAATACCTATTGCTTATTCACTGTCAAGTAAACATGCTTGACTGAAGTGCTGGGTCTCCTATTATCAGTCATTCTCAAGGGAACATCTGCTTGTGCTAAAGTTCTGTCAAGTTAAGCTGCATCTCTGTGCAGTGCGGTAATATCCATACCCACCTGTGTTGGATGGAGTGAAGCCTGGTAAGGATGGGCTGTTGAGGCCTGGGAGCAAGACTGGAGGGATGCCCTGTAGTGCTGGGTATGCAGCAGGAAGGTTAAGAGCTTGCAGAGGGGTGTTTTCAAACATGCCCTGCTGTTGAGCTGCCAGACCAAGAACCTCGTTGGCTTTTTTGATTCGGTCCAGCTCCTGCTGAGCCATCAACTGACGTACAGTAGCTGGGTCAAAATACTCCTTTTCCTTATCCAACTGGCTTCCAATGGTTTCTTTAACTTTGGAGATATGCTGTTGAGAGAAGATATGGTCACGTACAGACAGTCGAGCGCTGTACTTGATGCCACACAAAGTGCACTCTGTTTTGGGTCCCTCGTAACTTGTTTGGTTTATACCAAAATGCTTGGCCATGCTGAGTTTGGACTTCTTCTCCTTTGCCCTAGCATTCTGGAACCAGACCTGAACAACTCTCTTTGGCAGTCCAATGTCATTGCCCAGGACCTCACACTCCAGCATGGTAGGTGTCCTGTAGTCATTAAAGCATGACTTAAGAACTTTCAGCTGGAGATTAGTCATCTGAGTGCGAAAGCGTTTCTGTCCAGGCCGATCCCCGCCCTCACCAGACTTGCTGGCTGAACCACTGGCACCAGGGCTGGGTGAGCAGGGGTCTGCAAGGCTGGATGTTTCACTGTAGTCCACAGTACCTTCATTATCATACTCTTTGCTGTAAAAGCTGGGAGCTGGGCTGACCAGGCCAGAAGACAGCCGATCTTCATACTCAGACATTGCTATCATGGCAGCTTTTGTCAGACCTTCACTGGGTCCCGATGCTGATTTGGTTTCGGTTGCAATCCCTGTTGCACTGTCGTTGTCTGCGTTCCCTTCATCTCCTGTTGTAGTGTCTGTGATTGCAGTGTTGACAGAAGAGCAGTCATCGTTGTCCAGCTTTGCTTGGTCAAAGCTCAGGTTGACTGAGGAAATGGAGGGACTCTCAAAGTCTTCTATCCCTTCCACCTTAATGGAGGATGGACTCAGCAGAGTTCGAGGTGACAGTTCCATGCTCTTGTTCACTGGGGAGAGAGGAACATTCTGTCCATCACCGCTAGTTGGTGGAATGTGAGAAAAGCTTGCTCCATCAAAGATGTCTCCCTTCATTTGGAGTCCCCCATCACAATCTAAGAGCATTGCAGACAACGTCAAGTTGTACCCTGCTCTCTTGGCCTCGTGCCAGTGACGGGATCGGATGTGAGCTTCGAGAGCTGTCTTTGCTTTAAAGAGAGCTCGGCAGAACGGACACCGTCTGTGGGCTTGGGCAGGCCCTACAGCTCTGAACTGCCCCTTCCTTTCCCGTGCACGAGTGTTCTGAAACCAAACCTGCACCACGCGTTTCTTCAAGCCCACTTCATGTGCAATGTGATCCAACATCTTCCGTGTTGGGTTGGAGTCGAGCAAGTACTTCTGATAAAGAATTTCCAGCTGCTCTGGGGTAATGGTTGTCCTTAGACGTTTATCCCTTTGTGGCTCTTCTCCGCCGGTCCCACTGTCATTTTCTCCAGGGCTTGCACTGGCCTTTTCCTCCAGCTTTCTCTTCAGTGTGTTCATTGTGGATGTTGGAGTTGATGGTGAAGTGGCTGAGCTTGCTGGAATCTGTGGCAACGTTCCAGACAGCAGCTGGCTCGCCAGTAGTGGATTACTGGGATCAAAAAGCATGAAGGGCATATCCAGCGTTCTGTCCAGGAATGGGGGGTGGATAAACTGGTTCTGTGCGCTCAGAAAATGAAGCTGCTGATGCTCCTGCCAATGCTCAAAGGAAGGAAATGCCAGTTTGCACTGGTCGCACTGGTATGGGATTAGCTGAGGAGGTAGGTTTGCCAGCTGTTGAGGGGTGGATGTGTGAATGGGTTTGAGAGAAAGATGCGAGATCTGAGATGGACTTGGGCTTGACTGTGCCAAGGAGCACTGAGGGGGCTGAGGAGGAGGAGGTGGCTGTTGCAATGAAGTGGGGGAAGATAACTGTGAAATCTTTTGGTGTGCTGAACTTGTCTTTTGTTCTCCTTGGTCCTGTTGCTGCTGAGACTCTTGCTTTGGTTGCACTTGCTTCTCTTGAGTTTGGTTTTGCTGTGTACTTGGAGGTTCAGACTGCTTTGGTTTCTCATCTGTAGCTTCTACCTTAGAACTATAGGTGGAGGAATCGTCTGCCTCTGTTGTGAGCTGCAGAAAAGCTGAGGAAGTTGCATTGGCTGAAGATGTAGGTGTGCTGTAGGCTTGCGAGGGCATTGGTGTGCTGCAGGAGGAACTGGTTGGAGTCAAAAGCTCCATTGCATCCATAGAGTCTTCATTCTGGCTATCATCCTGTCCATCCTCATCTTCATCTTTGTAACAGAGCTTTTTCTGGTGTTTAATGAGATCAAAAATGCGCTGAAAGACCAGACTGCACTTTTTGCATTGGTAGTTCAGGTTGCTTGTTCTAATGTACCTGTCATTTGTAAGCTCCCTTCGTTCCCCATCTTTGCCTTCTCCCTGATTCTCATAGTTTTTCCTTGCTTTCTGACGGGCATTCTGGAACCACACCACTATAACGCGCGTTGGGAGGTTCAGCAAGTTAGAAAGCTGCTCAAATTCATCATCCTTTGGATAAGCATTGGCATCAAAGAAGTCCTGCAGGACTCTGAGTTGGTAGTCAGTAAAGCGTGTCCGCGAGGACCGCTTGCTTCCCCAGTATTCCTGCTTTTGAGGTTCTGGAGAAGGAGGCCGTGAGTCTATCTTCAGTTCTTCCAGGCTGGTAATGGGAGGATTACTGAAGTTGTATGGGGAATCCTTGTTGCGCTGGCGTTCTTTGAAAAGAGTGTTTCTGAACCAGTGCTTGATCACTTTCTGGGGCAATCCAGACTTGTCCGCCATCTCTTTGATCTGTTCCTCACTTGGGGAATTGTTAATATCAAAATACTGCCGCAGGACTCGAAGCTGGTCATCGGTGATTCGCGTCCGTGGCCTCTTGTTCTGCTGCTGCTGGAGAAGGCTGGGGTTGAGCTGATGCTGGTACAGCTGGGCCAAGTCAGCGGGCAGAGGGTCTACGGGACCGAGCTGGGGCGGCAGCTGTGCAGGTAACGTTTGTAGTGGCATGGTTTGCATCATAAGTGGTGAGAAGATGGGGAGCTCCATGGGCATGGAGAGCTGGGTGAGGGGCACAGACGGCTGGGTTGGTGCAATTGTGGGAGAGGTAATTGGTGGGGCAGAAGTAGGAATGGCAGGAGTGGAGGCGGGCTGGGGAGGGGCTGGAGGGAGCGGAGGGGGTGGCGGCGGAGGCGGGGGCGGCGGCTCTGGGGTCTGGGGCCGCAGCGGGTACAGTTTGTCATAGTGTTCTCTGTATTGTTTGGCAAATCTCTCTAACTGCTTAAAGGGGAAGTAATGTTGGTGAACATGCTCTTGGTGGCTCTTCAGGATGAGGATGTTTGAGAAGAACTTGCCACACGTATCACACTCAAGCTTTTCCAAGTTCTCACCTTGCTCTGTCTTCCCATTTTTCTTCTGCACCTTCTGCTTGTTCTCATTATACTGAATGACCAGCTCAAAGCCAAAGTTTTCCAGCAAGGCTTTCGTGGCATTCCCTCTTGCATCAGAGGCGATACGTGGGGGCAGTAAGGAGGGCTCTGAACCACTGCCTGGTACAAAGTCCTTCTTCTCTTTGGGCTTTAAGTTATCAGGCAGAGACTCCTTAGATGCTACATTATTGTCTCCCCTCTCTGCACTTTCTCTTTCCCGTGGAGTTTCTTTTTCTTTCTCCTTCACTATGGTTTTATTCTTCTTCTCAGGGTGCTGGCTCTGCTGTATAAGGACGGAGTGAGGTTGTGACAAGGACAGCTGACCTTGCTGCTGCTGTAAGAGCTGTGGATGGCTCTGTTGAGGGAGCTGAACTTGAGCCTTCAGGTCCTCCAGCAAACTTGGACCTGTCCCAGTCAGTGTCAGTGCCCCACTGGTGACAGGCAAGCTGACCTCTGGGTTGAGCTGGAACTCAGCACTGGGAATGTAGAAAGGAAACAGAAGATGCTGCTGTTGCTGCAGCTGCAGGAGGGTCTCAGTGGTCATCGGAAAGTGCGGCAAAAGTGCTGGGTTGAACAGCTGAGACTGCAGGAGAGCAGCTTGCTGCTGCAGCTCCTGCTGCAGATGTGCCTGGACTTGGGCCTGGGCCTGTGCCAAGGTCTGAACTTGCTGCTGCTGCTGCTGCTGCTGTTGCTGCTGCTGCTGCTGCTGCTGCCTGGATGCGATCATGTCTGCCAGCTTCTTTCGGTTTACCTCTTTGGGCTCTGCAGGGGAGGAGATATTAGTGCTTGCAGGGTTACCTAGAGGAGGAATTCCCACACTGTCACTGGCCACCTGGTTGAGCAGGTTGGGAATGGGAGCTGTGCCTGAATTACTTGTGTTGGTGGTTGTAAAGGTGTTAGTGTTGCTTGTGCTCACTGGGCTTGGTGTGGAGGAGCCCAAGGAGAGGCTGCTGCTGCTGCTGCCCGCTCCATTACTGCTGCCACTGCCCCCCGCTGCCTCCAGCTTGGCAGCACGAGCTTTGGTTTGGTGCAGGACAGACCTCATATGGATCTCCAGGGTTGAGCTCTGACTGTAGGCCACGTTGCAGGTGTTACACTTAAAAGGTTTGTTGTCTGGGCTGCTGGTGGGTTCGGGCTGCCCAGTAGCAGACTCTTGGAGGGCTCTTTTCAGTTTATGCAGATGAGAAACTGAATTGTAATGGACCAGGAGAATGTTCTTTTGTGTGAAAGACTCCTTGCAGACTGTGCACTTGTAAGGGCGAGATGGATCTAGGAATTTCTCCATTGTGAAGTTAGGGCCCTTCCGGAAGGGTAAGGCCCTTTTCGGTTCTGAGCCAGAGTCCTCTTGCACTGACCCTGAATCGCTGCCTGTTGGGCTCTGCTTGTCTTCCAAGTCGCTCTCCTCCTCCTTATCTTCCTCCACTATTATAGTGTGGTCTTCTGCAAGTGAAGGATCACCCATGGCTAGGAGGTCCCCGTTGACCAAAAGACCACCATACAACTGCTGAATGTCGGCCTCACTCAGCTCCAGATGGCTGGTTTCCAGGTGCTTCTTCAGGGCCTGGAAGGTTCGGAAGCTGCGCTGGCAGAGGCAGCACATGGTGGCTGCCCGGATGACGTGGTACTGGGAGTGGAGCTGCAGCTTCTCGATGGTTTTGAAGGCCAAGCTGCACTGGTTACAGCGGTACTTGTAGACGTGGCGGTCGGACACAGGCAGCTGGGGCCGCTTTGCATGGACTTCATTGAAGTGTGTCTGCAGGGCTGCCGAGCTCTTGAACACCTGGTTGCAGCCCTTCTTCCAGCAGAGGAAGCCCGAGTCCTCCCTGGCAGAGCTCTGATCAGCCGGAACGGGCTTGGGATCTCCACTGGGCTCTGCACTTTCTGATGGTGAAAGAGTCTTTCCCGAGTCCTCAGAGATCTCTGTGAAAACAGAATCAGAGCAAACCTGAAAATTACACCGCACACAGGGGCTGATCAACACCCTCTTTTAGTCCCTAACACATCCATGTTCTTTTCTCTGCAAGACAACAGTTATTTCTAACTTTTCTCTTCTGTCTTCATTCATTTATTTTAATACCAGCCCATTACCCTCATCATGGCCCACTGCATTAACCTACACAATTTACTTTCTTGCCCACTTTGAGTAGCTGGAAAAATTTCACACACATGCATGTTCCCATAGTGCATTTATCACCTTCAATTCTTCCTTTTAAGTGAAGGCCACTCAGTCACCTATCTGTCTTTGCTGTTTTTTCTTTCATGTCCTGCCTGTTTTCCAAAAAGAAGGTTCATCAAACTGAATGTAGTATTTGAGTCTTGGTTCTATCAAAGCTAGAAACAACAGGAACAAAATTCTGGTCCTGCTGGCAGCAGCTCAAAGGGTGCTGTTTGTGGGAGGATGGGAGACGCAGGAACAAGCTCTCAGTGCACTATCACTTTTCCAGGGCGTAAGAGCAGAGTCCTGCCAGAAAAGGCAGTGAGATACAGGCAGAGACCCAAAAAGGGATCCCATTGCCCAGGACAGCATTAGCTACCCTGGCTGTGCCAGTGCTGCCCACCAGCACCACTGCCCTGGGGCCACCTGCCTGAATGGAAACGACGACTGTCTTCATTGCCAGATTCCCTACAGATCTTCCAGGAAGGTACAGAAGGAAGACCAGCATTGCTTCCCTGCCAGGTTTGAGATCAGATGTTTCTGCCCACGCAGAATGATGCTCTTGGGATACTCTCACACCGTGCTGCAAAGCCAGCACTAAATAGCCACTGATTTAGAGCCAAGCCTTGGTAACACAGCATGGCAATGAAAAAGGCTGAGGAGATGTGGGCTGAGCAAGGCCTGCAGCAGCTCCACAGCTCCCAAAAATGTGTGCCCAGCCTATGTACTTGAGCTCTGATGGCAGAAGAGCAGGTGCAGCAGAGCTGACAGCAGATCTGTGGCCAGTACCTGCAACCTTTGGTGCTTCACAGAATCACAGAATCCTAGGGGTTGGAAGGGACCTTGAAAGATCATCTAGTCCAACCCCCCTGCCAGAGCAGGGTCACCTAAAGTACATCACACAGGAACTCATCCAGGTGGGTTTTGAATGTCTCCAGTGAAGGAGACTCCACAACCTCCCTGGGCAGCCTGTCCCAGGGCTCTGTCACTCTCACAGGAGAAAAGTTTTTTCTTATATTCACCTTGAACCTCCTATGCTCCAGTTTGCACCCATTACCCCTTGTCCTATCACTGGTCATCACTGAAAAAAGCCTAACTCCATCTTCCTGACACTCACCCCTTACATATTTGTAAACATTGATGAGGTCACCCCTCAGTCTCCTTTTCTCCAAGCTAAAGAGACCCAGCTCCCTCAGCCTTTCCTCATAAGGGAGATGTTCCACTCCCTTAATCATCTTTGTAGCTCTGCCCTGGGCTCTTTCAAGCAGTTCCCTGTCCTTCTTGAACTGAGGGGCCCAGAACTGGACACAATACTCCAGATGCGGCTTCACCCATGCAGAATAGAGGGGGAGGAGAACCTCTCTTGACCGACTAACCACACCCTTTCTAATGCACCCCAGGATGCCATTGGCCTTCTTGGCCACAAGGGCACATTGCTGGCTCATGGTCATCCTCCTGTCCACCAGGACCCCCAGGTCCCTTTCACCTACACTGCTCTCCAGCAGCTCAGCCCCTGACCTGTACTGGGACATGGGGTTGTTCTTCCCCAGATGCAAGACCTTGCATCACTTGCCCTTGTTGAACTTCATCAGGTTTCTCCCTGCCCAACTCTCCAGCCTGTCCAGGTCTCGTTGAATGGCAGCACAGCCTTCTGGTGTGTCAGCCACTCCTCCCAGCTTAGTGTCATCAGCAAACTTGCTGAGGGTACATTCTATACCCTCATCCAGGTCGTTGATGAAGATGTTGAACAACACCGGTCCCAGTACCGACCCCTGTGGGACTCCACTAGTCACACACCTCCAACCAGATTCTGCCCCATTGACTACAACTCTCTGACTCCTTCCTTTCAACCAGTTCCTAATCCACCTCACTTCCTGATCACCAAACCCATACCTGATCAACTTATCTACAAGGATGCGGTGGGAGACGGTGTCAAATGCTTTACTGAAATCAAGATAAACCACATCTACCGCTCTACCATCATCTATCCACCTAGTAATTTCCTCATAGAAGGCTATGAGGTTAGTCAAACATGATTTACCCTTGATAAAACCATGCTGACTGCTCTTGATGACCCCCATGTCCTTGATGTGCCTGGAGATAGTGACAAGAACAAGTTGTTCCATCACCTTTCCAGGGATGGAGGTGAGGCTGACCGGTCTATAGTTACCCGGGTCCTCCTTCTTGCCCTTCTTGTAGACTGGAGTGACATTTGCTATCCTCCAGTCCTCAGGCACCTCACCTGTTGCCCATGACTTACTGAAGATGATGGAGAGTGGCCTAGCAATGACCTCCGCCAGCTCCCTCAGCACCCTTGGGTGCATTCCATCTGGACCCATTGATTTATGGATGTCCAGATTACTCAACTGATCCCTAACCCAATCCTCATCTACCATGTCAAACTCTTCCTCTATCTTGACTTCTTCTGGGGCTATATGAATCTGGGGCTCATAGGGAGACCCTGCAGGAGTGAAGACAGAGGCAAAGAAGGCATTCAGCACCTCTGCCTTCTTTATATCCTCTGTCACCAGGGCTCCCACCTCATTCCTCAATGGGCCAATATTGCCTCTACTGCTAGTTTTGCTAGCTATGTATTTGAAAAAGCCCTTTCTATTATCCTTAACCTGACTTGCAAGGTTAAGTTCCAAGGAGGCCTTAGCTTTCCTAATTGCCTCCCTACATCCTCTGACAACAGTCCTATATTCCTCCCACGTGACCAGCCCCTCCTTCCATGATCTGTAGATTTTCCTTTTCCACTTAAGTTTGCCCAGTAGTTCCTTCTTTAACCATGCAGGTCTCCTAGCACCCTTACTAGATTTCCTAACCATTGGGACACTCTGATCCTGTGCTTGCAAGAAGTGGTCCTTGAATGTTGACCAGCTATCTTGAGCTCCTTTATTTTCTAGCACCCTGTCCCATGGGATTTCCCTTAATAGATGATTGAGGAGACCAAAGTTTGCCCTGTGGAAGTCCAGGGTTCTGGTCCTGCTGGGTATTTTGTTCCTTCCACACAGGATCCTGAACTCCACCATCTCATGACCCCTGCAGCCAAGCCTGCCATTGACCACCACTGCTTCAACAAGGCCCTCCTTGCTGGTTAGTACAAGATCCAGCAGCGCTCCTCTTCTAGTCGGCTTGTCCACCATTTGCATTAAGAAGTTATCATCAATGCACTGGAGGAACCTCCTAGACTGTGAAAGGCTGGCTGTGTGAGTCTTCCAGCAGATATCAGGGTAGTTGAAATCTCCCATGAGGACCAGGGACTGTAGTTGTGAGGCTGCTTTCAGTTGCCTGTAGAAAGCCTCATCAACCTCCTCACCTTGATCAGGAGGTCTGTAGTAGACCCCCACAACTGTGTCACCCGCACCTGCTTGCCCCTTAATTCTTACCCACAGACTTTCAACTTGCCCCTCATCAGCCCCTGCACGAAACTCAATACATTCTAGTTGCTCTCTCACATAAAGAGCAACTCCACCACCTCGCTTCCCTGCCCTATCTTTCCTAAAAAGCACATATCCATCCATGGCCACATTCCAGTCATGTGAGCTGTCCCACCATGTCTCTGTTATTGCTACTAGATCATAACCCTTAGCCCGCACACAGACCTCTAATTCCTCCTGCTTGTTCCCCATGCTGCGTGCATTAGCATACAGGCATTTCAGGAAACGAACAGAGCACACCGGTGGGACTAAATCCTCCTTGGACGACCTGACTTTGGGCCATGGTGTGTTCCTCTTGTGCTTGTCCCTAACAGACCCGGTCTTCTCCCCTTCCCCCTTCACATCTAGTTTAAAGCTCTATCAATGAGCCCTGCCAAGTCCTGCCCCAAAAGCCTCTTCCCCCTCTGGGACAGGTGCATCCCACCTGCTACCATCAGTCCAGGTGCCTCATATAGCATCCCATGATCAAAAAAACCAAAACCCTGTCTAGGGCACCAATCTCTTAACCATTCGTTAACCTGCAAACTCTTCCTGTATACCTCCCTACCCATTCTTGCAGGAGGGATGGAGGCAAACACTACTTGCGCTCCAGACCCCCTAACTAGCTGTCCCAGGGCCCTGAAGTCTCTCTTCATTGCCCTTACATTTCTTGTAATAATTTCATCACTGCCAACCTGAAAAATCAGCAGCGGGTAGTAATCGGAAGAATTCACAAGATTGGGGAGTTTCCTTTTAACATCCCTAATCCGAGCCCCAGGGAGGCAACAGACCTCCCTGTGAGATGGGTCCGGCCGACAAATGGGCCCTTCTGTCCCCCTCAGAAGGGAGTCACCCACCACAATTACTCTCCTTTCCTTCTTGATTGAAGAAGTCCTAAGGACTCGAGGTGACTGACGAGTCCTAGGCACTTCACTAGGTAAGTTTATCCCTCCAACTTCATTTTCCTGTTCCTGAATTTCCAATGCCTCGTATCTATTCTTCAAGGGCAACTGAGAGGGTGGAAGGGGTTGGGAGGATTTTTTCTTGCCTCTTCGAGGTCGAACCTCCTTCCATTCCTTAATATCTCTTAAGTCCTCTCCATCTCACAGGTAGACAAAAGAGCTTTACCCTTTTTCCTGTTGCAGCCAATGAAGGACAAAGGATATTTCTTTTTATCCTCTTCGCACTCAATCTTCCGTTTCTTCCTTTGTCATGTTGATATGTATTTTGGGAAGTAACTAGATGGAAGCACTTAAAAATGAGGGACCTATTTGAGTCCAAGTGATGCATCACTGAATGTGGAATCACATTTTCCCGTAAATCTATCTTTAGCCTCTGCACTTGAATATCCCACTTAAGTTATATTGGTAGCACAAACTGACACAGGTGTTAATGGATTGATTGGCGCAGCCAAGTAACTTCTATTTCATCCACGTCCTCCATCAACTCTACATTTTCCATGCAGCTGGGCTGCCAATTCTCACACCTAACGGGTGAGCCCTTCTATTTTGTCTTGCTTGAGCAAAATTCCACCAGCATTTCCAAACTAATGCTTGCACCCAGGCATTTCCTAGCTTGCTGGGCGAGGGACTAAAAGGTGAAGGAGATCCTACGTGGCACAGTCTCACTCACCAGTTATTCTTGGAGGTGCTTTTTGCAGCCCTTCCAGCCAGTGTTGCAGTGCTTCTTGACTGTCCTAGCCTTCTGACTGTTTTTTTTCTTCTCCATTGAGTTCCTTCAGTTCTTCTTATAGCAACAGCAATGGCAAAGAAGCGTTGATTTCATCTTCTAACATGTCTCCAGTCTTACTAGAATCTGCTGCCAGCAGAGTGTTTTGGATAATGTTTTCATCATCAAAATAAGTTAAAGAAAATCCTGGAGGCATCTGGTATTACATGCACCTGAGATGCCTTGGAGCTGACAGATCAAAATATAAGTCAAATACTATGGATCCAATATGATGGAGTTGAGGAAAAGAATGGCTCCAAAGGAAGAGGAGGATATTCTGTCTCCTCTGGTTTGTTTTTGCAGTGCTAAGTGGTACAGTCTATAGCAGGCATGGTTCTTCACTGGTTGTCCATGGGTATAGCTTATAGTCACAGATTATTGTTAGAATCTCTGGAGTTGATACTTATGAAATTAATTTTCCATCCTAGCAGCTCAGCCATTCTGGGGACACTCCTGTGTATCCCATCACCGCTTTATGCTGCAGCAACAGCAGGGAAGGCACAATCCAGGATCACTGCGACACAATCTGCTTGGCTTTTGCTCATTGACTTAGCGAGAATAAGGCTGATCAGTCAGAGGAAGGATGCAATGGGCCAGAGTGCTTGTAACTTTGCCCCACTCAGAAAAGTCTGAGATACAAAACTGTAGCATGTAAAAAACTTTACAAGATTTTGGCAAAGCCTGGAAAAGACACAGAGGCTGACACATGACTGTGCTAGATTGTAGTTTTCTATTATTGATACAATTAGGGGGGGAAAATGTTTCCAGAACCTAGTAATTTCCTCATAGAAGGCTGTAAGGTTGGTCAAACATGACTTACCCTTGGTAAAACCATGTTGACTGCTCTTGATGACCCCCTCATCCTTGATATGCCTAGAGATAGTCCCAAGAACAAGTTGTTCTATCACCTTTCCAGGGATGGAGGTGAGGCTGACCGGTCTATAGTTACCCGGGTCCTCCTTCTTGCCCTTCTTGTAGACTGGAGTGACATTTGCTATTCTCCAGTCCTCAGGCATCTCTCCTGCTACCCATGACTTACCAAAGATGATGGAGAGTGGCCCAGCAATGACCTCCACCAGCCCCCTCAGCACCCTTGGGTGCATTCCATCCAGATCCATCGATTTATGGATGTCCAGATTGCTCAACTGAACCCTAACCCAATCCTCATCTACCAGTGCCCTCAGCCCTTCACCAGTCACATTTGGTCTTCTCCTTTACACAGATTCAACACTTTTTCATATGAATGGCCACAGAGGTGAACTGTGCTCCTCATCTTTCAGCTGCCCTGCTCTGCCCTGCCATGGGACACCTGGGGCACCAGCCTGGCTGGGACACAGATGATGTGAGACAGCTCTGCTGGGCACCATCTGTGGTTCTCAGGGGGCAGCTGGGCACATGAAGCTCACCTGGGCGGGGATGTGCCCAAACACAGTCCCTGGCCAGGTGATGGGAGCCTGGGACATGGTGGGACCTGTGGACATCACCAGACCCATACTCACCAGGCTGCTTCCCCAGCTCCTCTGTGGCAGAGTTCCCATCTTTCTCTGGAGCAGGTGCTGGGAGAAACATGCTGCTGGGCATCATCACCTCAGGTGTTGTCACCTGGAAACAGGGAGGGAAGGATGTGGGGAGAAGAAAAACACAGGAAATTATTTAAAAAAAATCTTCAGTGGCAAAATTAGACACGAGTATTGTAAAGTCAGAGGCATCACTTCTCACTGAAGACTCATGTTTATTAGACAGAGCTCACATCAGTCAAAAGTGTTTCTACAGTTACATCCTGGACATAATTAGCAGTGCACACTTGAAGAATAATCTTATTATTAATATTTTTTTCCTTTATGTAGAATTCAGACTTTGATCACTGACAATGTTTTGTCATGGGCTGTGAAACTTCTTGTGCAACCAATTAGGTAGATAAGTTGAAAGGCCCACCTTAAGCTGCTGAAAACATAATAAGGCCCCTAATTAAATCATACCTCATAAAGTACACTGTAATCTTGAACTGGGGAGCATTGCAGCACTGGTTTCAAAGTGCATCGAAGCAGGAAGAGGAGGGGCGTAAGAAAGAAAAGTATAAATAAGGAGAGAGGTGACAAAGGAAAGCAGGGATAAGGAGAGACTACAAAGACAGAAAATTTTGTCTTTGAGCTGAAAAGCTTTTGGTAGCACTTTCCTGGCTCTGACTGACGTGTTCTCTTCACCTCCCTTCAAGTATTTATCTGGGACCTGCACCATCATAACCAGTGCAGTGCCTGAAGACCAACCTTTTTAGAGAGCTGGAAGTCTGTGTGCCTCTGTCAGACACTCCTTGACAGTGTCACACGCACACGCTCCTCTGTTTCTGGAAAACTGCTTCTGTGGGTGGGTGGGGTCACACACAGAACACACAAACCACCTTGCCAGCAGAGTGCATTGGGCTGGCATATGAGCCAGGACAACAAAGACCCTTCTGAACATCCAGAGCCAGCATCTTCACCCCACACGAAAAGCTGCCCCACAGCCCTTCTCCCTGGAGAACAACTGGTAGGATGGACCAGCACCACCATCACCACCTGTGCCAGCACTGCCTGGGTGTCTGAGGCAAGCATTGACAACTCTGCAGCTCCGAGCAGCCTGCTTCACCCTGCTAGTGCCCAGGGAGCATCTGCTCAACAGGGCTGTGACACTGGAAGAGGGAAGAGAAACCAACAGTGGCCTCCAATGCCTGTAGTGCTTAAATAAACACTCTTAGACAGGTAAGTTTCCTAGGAAAACAAGTCCTTCCAGCCTTCTGATACTAAAAGGGCATTTGAACCTTGGATTTTGGAAGAGTGAGTGAGGCTGTGATCTGCATCCAGTGTACCTTGCTTTCTACCAAGTCCAGGACCACAAGGCTCTCACTGAACAGCAGGAGGTATTAGCAAATCTGTGGTGAAGCTGAAGGTAAACCTATGTGCAGGACATTAAATCCTCCTTACCTACACGTATGTCAAATCCAAGCAAACACAGACTAGATCTTGGCTTCAATAAATGAACAGAAACAGAAACAGTCCATGAAAAAACCTCAGCAACAAATGTCTGCACAGAAGGGGCTGCAGACCTCCGAGGGGCAGCAGGGAGGGATGCTGAGCTGCCTCCCCTCGCTGGGACGGCCGGTGCGGGGGGCTCTGCAGGGAAGGCAGCTAACACTGCTCAAGCACCAGCAGGGAAACTGAACACACCAAATTCATTCCACCTTTTACTCTAAGCCGGAGCATCTGATGGCTGTGGGTGGTGGGTTGGGAGATGTGAAAGGTCACTGGTTAATTCCTGGTAGCTGGGCCTGGAGGAGGGGGACAAGCAGGGATGCTGAGGAGGCAAGAAGGAGCTGTCCCTCTCTGCTTTATCAGCAGGGAGAGCGCTTTCCTAGGATCTTTAGGAATTATGAGAAATGAATCATGAGAAATTAAAAAAACCCCAACAGAGTAGAAAAAGAATAAAATTATCTAACACCTCAGCTGCACATCATTATAGCAAACTGTGGGCTTTTCATACGCATTACAGTAAGGCAGCCATCCCCGCTACCACACTCAGTACGATGGATCAGTAATTGTTTTCATACACTTTAATTAGAAAAACTCAGATGGCTATGAATAATAATGGAAAAGAGAGACTTTTGCACTTGAAAGGTTGAAGTCAATCAAGTGTGAATGACGGCAAAAAAGAAAAAAAAAAAGACACCAATTCATCAGGCCTCTGTTGTCTCGCCGCGTCTTTAATCATAATTCCTGATTGGGATTCAAGAAGGCAGTAAGCAGCGGTTCTTTGTCTGCCTTCACCTTCCGTCAATTAACTCTCCCCGAAATATAATCATCAACCTCACATGCTCCTCTGCATCTTAATCTGGGTCTCCAAACCAGTAAGTCCTGCCCTATATGTGTTTAAGTAATTACCTTTATCTACCTGCATCCCCATAGCCACAGCTCTCACCCTCTTCTACCCCTCCCTCCATAGTAAAAAAAAAAAAAGAAAATAAAATAAAGAGGGGGAACTCAAACCAAGGCTATGGTACATTAAATTGCTACAGGCACAGAATCCCAAAAAGGAAACAGAAAAAAGCTTGGAGAAAAGTGCAGGAAGCTAGCAATTCTGGCTATGGATGTAGGGCAACTGCAGGCAGTCCAGACAGCCAGGCAGGGCTGGCTCTGGGAAGCAAAACCTTGAAAATAAGGAAAATAAGGCACTGGTCTTGCTTCAGCAACTGGACCTGCTTCAGTCCTCTACCTGTTCAGCACCATCCGGGTTTCTCCTGAAAGTGCCACCCATTGCCTAAGCCATATTCCAGGGCAGTAGTATTCTGTCTCTTCATCCCCATGGACTACCCTGAGTGAGCAGGCAGCAAAGATAAAAACAGTGAAAACAGGCTGCAGATCTCAAACCACGTGCATTTACACTGAATTCCAGACTGCCCATTGTGAACTAATTGTCCTTTCACACTGCAAACCCATCTGAGCAGATGCCATTTTCTTGTATGTGCAGAAAATGCATTGCACGTTGTAGCTGCTTTTGACATAAAGAGTAGGAGTGCCAAGGGGGCAGGAAGGTTTAGTAGGCCATGGCCACCCGACAGATAACCAAGGAGCAGAGCTCTATAGCAGAGTGCTTTGTACTGCAGATGTATTTAATGGCATTAACTGTCCTGGTGATAGCAGGAACATGTTTATCTGGAGCACTGGCTGTGTCAGTGTGTGCAGTCATCACATGCTCTCTACCTCCCTCCCACCTGAGCGGGCAATACCTGGCATGTCATCCTGGCACCCATCCTCAGCTCTGCTCAAACCTCTGCCTCCCTCTTTAAATGTCTCTCCCAACACCAGGTGTTCCACAAAGGCAGCAAGTCAGTCAAGGTGAACCGCTATTCAAACAACAACCCTACAGATGTACATTGGACAAGCATGATTTGCCTCTTCCCTTTCCTTCCTCTGTCCATATTTGTTCTGCTCCGCCCATTGTTAAACTGCATCCCCTTCACAGTGTGAAGCCCCCATCTCCTGGCCCACAAGCCACCAGCAAAGCCTTTCAGCATGGAAACAGCCCTCTCTGTCACAGCAGATCCACAGCTCGAGAGCATCCATTCCCTGCTGCTCCTAGGTCCAGGGTCTCTAGGTTGCTCTGCACAGCAGTATTATCACACAGAACACAAATGCTCCCCTTGACCTGTGTCACTCTGGACTTTTCTGTCCCAATGAAACCAGGAGGTGGGGAGGGATGGGCAGCTCACCCATACCCCTCTGGCAGATGCCAAGAGGTGGATCAGGTTTTGTTTATCCCTACTTCAATGACTTGAGTCCGTGTCTCCATGAATGTCTGGAGAACCCTAATGGTGGGGCAGGCACTCAGAACACATCCTTTGCTCCAACCACCCCGTCGCCATCTCCGTTTGCTCGGCGTGGTGGGGAATTTGCTTGAGCTAAGAGCAAAGAAGAAGTTTGCCCCATAGATTTGGCAGCCCCTCCTGTGTCCCACTTCAAACATCTCCCCTGTGGGCTGTACTGGACTTGGGAACGCCAGCTGGAGAAGTTCCCTCTAGAGCAGACGGCAGAGAAGCCAGTTATCTGCCTTAGAAGATGGACAAGTCCCTGTGCTCCCAAGGACCCTCTCTTTTGGACAAAATTCAGATTCCCTCAAGCAAAGAACATTTCTTTATGATGATTAAATCCACCGTCATGTGTGGGCATCTCAATCTCATTGCCATTTCTATAGACAGTGTGATCCAGAGCGTGGCTGCTGCTAAACACCCAAGGGGTGACATGCCATGTCCCCTGCCTCCCTGTCCCCTGAGCATCCTCAGCAGATTGCACACGTCCTGAAACCTACAAAACCTGTTACTGGCCTGGAGAACAAACTGTGGGTCCAGTCCTCACAGATGACAACCTAGAGCAGCGACAAGAGTGGTTTCTGCCACTACCAGATCTACCATGTTTGTAAGATGAAGAACTGCAGAGCCACTTATCAGCACAGGCCAGAGCTGGGGGCTGCAACACCCCTCCCACGCCGGCCACGGCAGCGCGACACGAGTGTATTCCTGGCACGTCTGAAGAATTAATCTTGGCTCGCGTGAGCAGCCAGCTCCCCTGCCGCCCCGGCTGCCTGCCCTGACCTCCCTCCAGACCCAGTGACCAAACGTGTGGACGGCCTGTGTGGTTCCTCTGCAAATGCCCCAAAACGCTGAAATCATGCAGCTTTGAAAAGAAAATCTCCTGAAGGGGTCTGAGGAGATACATCACTATCCCCATGTCCGTGCAAGCAGGGGGAAATACACATGCAATGCAAGGTTCCTGAACCAGACAAAGGAGGTAATTTCCATTACAAAGAGAGAGAGAGGGTGCTGGAGTGAAAAGCTTCATTAGACTCAGAGAGGCAAAGCGATGGCAGTATACCAAGGTCACTTCTAATTTAGACCATCTAATTGGCAAACATGGCTCCAAATGGCTATCATCTCACAGGGCTCAGAATTAATGAAGCCCGATTATTTTCATTACCTTCATCCGAGATGGAGAATGAGACACAGAGTGAGAGGGAAAGGGGGGAGTGAGAGGGGGCGAGAGGAGGGAGAGAGAAAAATTGAATGACAGCAGAAGGGAGAGAGCAGTAAGAAAAGACAATAGGAAAGAGGAAAAATATGTAAAGATAGCAGGAGGGAGAAATGAGGCTGGCAGGGATAGGCAAGAATTTCTCTTAGAGCAAGAGAGAAAAGATAGAAAGATGGTGGAAGCACTGGGAAGATGCCCTAAATTGGGGCAGAGAGAACTGACAAGAGAAATGACAGGAGGAATGTGCAGGGGGATAAAGGCGGGCGCAGAAGGAGGGAGGCTCCCACTCCCGGAGGCTCTGGGGAAGCCATCCCTTCTCCTGGCTTGAGCCCATCAGTCTTGTCAATCGACTGTGCAGGCGAACTGCACTTCACCCTCATTAAGAGGCTCTCTGCTGAAGCGGGGCAGGCCCGAGATCAGCCAAGAGCCTGTTGTGTGGAAGGAAGGCGATTCGACCTGCTCAGAGCAGCTGAAACACTGTGGAAAATAAACCCAGTGACGTTCCTTCCCCAGCCCCGCGGAAGGGAAGGAGCAGGAGATGGGGTCTGGCAGGAGTCCCTGCCCCACAGGGGCTTCCCAGCCCCCAGCAGGAGCTCCTGTCCCCTCAGCCAGGGCTGCAGCCCCGCCAGCCCTGCCCCAGCCCCTGGGGAGCACCTGGGTGTCCCTGGGGATGGCCAGCCAGGCTGGGTGCTGATATGAAAAGGACGGGGCACGGAACAGCCAGTTCTGAGATGCTGAGCACAAGCAAGCAGCCGTTACCATGGCAACAGACATATTAGACACTGCAGGTTCCTGAAAGGCGTCTGATAAGGTATTATTAACTGGAGCCTCCTCCAAACGCCGAGCGCAAAGACACTGTGTCCAAAGGGACCTGGCTCCCATTTACTGGGCTGCAGTTCCCTCACGGTGGCACCAAGACCCGATCCATGTGTCAGACTGATATGGGGATCTTAGCTAGAATGAGCAAAATCAGGAACTTTTGATGCTGCCACATTCTGCACAAGCTGTACTGATTTCTCAAAATATTTGTCATTTAATGCAAAGAAGAACCACCTTCTTGACCCATGTGCTATTTGACTTTGAGCAGGAGAGACAACCTTCCTACCTGGCTGCATCTCTGCGTACCAAAGAAACAGCTGCCCAGGGCCACTGGCAACGGCGAGGCGGAATAACCAGACAGAGGCATGAGGATGAGCTTGCCAGCTCCAGTAGTCCCGTGACTTTCCACAGAAGACCTGTGCTCTGCAGCCAAGAATGAGGCCCTGCCCAGTGCAGAAGATGTGCTCCCCAAAGGGGACTGTCCTTCACAGCACTGCAGATGCTTTGGCCACATCCTCTGCTGGGGGTCCTGAGCTCCTGAACGAGTGGCTTCTGGCAGGCTGCAGGTATCCTGGAGGACACAAACCTGCCCAGGCCAGGAGACAGACCAGCCTAAGCTCACCAGTGCAGACTGAGCTCTGCCAACCCAGCCGGGGATGAGCTGTTCCACACCAATCAAGCAGACACCCTTAGTGAACTGGTTACACTTGCTGGCCTAAGGACGGGGCTCGGCTTCTGCTCACTGCTTTTATAGGGTCAAAATGTCTTCCATCAATTTAGTCAGAAGCTAACGAGATTCATTCAAGTCCTCAGAAGGTATTTACACACTTAAGCACCATCAATCAAAATGGATGCAGGTGGCAGAGACCAAGGTCTTTGTGATGGGACAGGTCCTTGACCCAGGTGCACAAGTGGTCTGCAGAGCAGAGCTACACCCTGCTAGAGCCTGCAGCCACAGCCTGCTCTGCAGGGCTGGTGACCTGCTGGGCTCTTTTTCCCTGCTTCTCTGCATTCCATTATCTAGAGAGCGCTGGGACTTGTCAGCCCAGAGGATGTGTAATGGGGTTTGCAATGTGGCAAAGGCAACTGGTTCCCATGGGTGGACAGCAGCGTTGGTCCAGCAGTGGCCACCACGAGCCTTTGCAGCTTGCCAGGGTGCAGGATGCACCTTCAGCTCCTGTGGAGCCCAGTGGGGCCAAGAGAGAGGACAGAGAAATGAGAGGACAGGTAGCTGGTAAAGCAAAGAGGAAGATAAAAAGCATGAAGGTGTTTGAGAAGGGGCCAGAGGACTGGAAGGGTGACAACAAGAGCACAAGAGAGAACTGTAAGGGACAAGCTGGGAATGCTGCACCCGTGCTCCAATGATGTCACAGGACAGGAGCTGGTACAGAACATGAGTATTACAAACAACACGTTATTCACCTCTACTGTCAGGAATCAGCAAAGAACGGAGAAAAGCAGAAATAGGAGACAAGAATTAAAAAAAAAGGCAAAGAACTGACAGGAACAAAAAAAAAACATTTTATGTACTTGGCGACAAGTTCTTAAATGCAGGTACAACCTTGCCTTGAAGATGATACCAAAAAAATAACAGCGCAGAAATCTGACAATACATCCCATCTGTGAATTTAGAAGGAAGTGTTTTTGAAAAAGGCCCTTATTAATTCTACCTGTATCTTAAACTGACACTAGCAAATGGAAAGGCACACTCATGTGAAACCTACGAAAAGGGAATTAATGAAAGAGACATTCTTGGACTCAGAATGTTATTTACTGAAGCAAGTGCCAAAA